ATAAATATTACCTCACTAAAAATCAGTGAAAGTCACAACAAATATTAATTATCATAATGGCTAACATTTATGGAACTAGTGGGCCCATGATGAGAGTTTTGCTTGTATTATCTAATATTCACAATAAACCTATAGTGTAAGGACCATTGCTGTTCTCATTTTATAGATCAGGAAACTGAGGCACTGAGCAGCTTCACTTGCCAAGGTGACATAGCCATTCAATGATAGAATCCAGACTCAAATGCAGTTCTGATTCTAGAGCTAGCTCCCTAATTTACAAGTTAAAACAAATCAGACTCACAGTCACTTACCCTCATCAGAGGTTCAAATACTTCCCTAAGAGGACAAAAGGGCTCCTGACCCTGGGCATGCTCAGGAGAATGTCACCCATTGTACAAAGAGCAGTGGAACAAAGCTATGAACAGCTGATCTGGAGAGATGTGGCGAGGCTGGAAACCCACTTTGGTTCTCAGCCCCGCTCTACATGAAAACAGGTATCTGAACCTGAGCAAGACACTTTACATCTTTCTGCTTCACACTCCTGTTCTGTAAAATGGGAATAACTCAGCAAAAGCCATTTAACACAAGGTTAGTGGGAGGACAAGACCAAAAGAGAGGGACGCCTGGGTGGCTCAGTCGTTAAGCATCTGCCTTCGGCTCAGGTCATGATCCCGGGGTCCTGGGATCGAGCCCCGCATCGGGCTCCCTGCTCCGTGGGAAGCCTGCTTCTCCCTCTCCCACTCCCCCTGCTTGTGTTCCCTCTCTCGCTGTGTCTCTCTCGGTCAAATAAATAAATCTTAAAAAAAAAAAAAAAAAAAAGACCGAGAGAACATCTGGGAAGCATCCCTCAGGGCTAAGGATGCTGTAGTGTCGGTTGACACGCATGTACTCTAATTTAGGGTTTCAACGGTCTCCCTATACAGTAAAGCAGGAATCACTTCCAAACCACCCATTTATTTAACATAAGGAAAACAGAAACCTAGAATTACTGACAGGGCGTGATGTATACATATTATAATGGGCTTAAATTACACGGTGATTTCTGCCCAACCCCATGCAAGTCAGTGGGTGCTGGGTAGTCTCAGGCTGCATTCTTGCACACATGCTTTCTGATGTCTGGCGCAGCAGACAAGGAGGGTTGTGGGGTGGCCCTCCTGGGGTGACATCCTGATGATGGCCCTGAGCATGTGTGTGCTTATGTCCGATTCTTTGTCTCCAGAGGAGACTCTAGGCTGCTGCCACATCAGTTCTCCCACGAAATGATACCCTTTGGATCCACAGCGCTTTACAGTTTATGAAAAAATTTATTGTTTGTACAAGACCTTGTTTCAATTAATCCATCCAACTACCCAAAGAAGCAGGCAGGACAAACTGCATTATGCCCATTTTATGGATAAGGAGAATTTACTCAGGAGAGGTTGACTTGCCCAAGATGCCCTCCGTGGTAGAGCTGGGCTAACGGACCCCACGTGAGACTCTTCGCTGTGCTGTGTGTTTTCAGATCACGTAACGATCCACTGAGCACCTAGCACGTCAGCCCCTGCGCCAGGTACTCCCGCTCAACAGCTTGTGCTCCTGAGAGAAGCTTGTTCAAACCTCACCCCTCTCCTGCCCCTTGCAATGAATGATGAGTTTTAAGCGTTGAAATTACGAACCAGACCGTTCAGCCTGTCACAGCAGGAGCTAAGTGGCAGCTTAAGAGCTGAGGTCTAGAGCCAGCCTGGCCTGAATCCCAGCCCTGCTACCCACTGTCAACTCTGGTTCCTTATCTGTAAAATGGGGATAAGAACTCTGCCAGTTTGTAGGGTTGTGAGGACTGATTTAGGGCAAGTAAAGCACTTACAATGGTACCTGTTACAAAAGACCCCAATAAATATTAACCGTTAGTATTTCCTTAGCATTGTGTGGAAAGGAACAAGGGGAGGTTCAAAAGGATCCCTTTTTAACCTTAGTGTCGCAAAGCTTTCATTCCATTTCACTTATTTCAAGACTCAGGCCCAGAAAAAGGAGCCCTCCCTCATTTGGGCAGAACTCAAAACCTCTTGCTGAGTCTGCATACCACCCTCCCTGGTCTCACCTCCGCCTCCATTGTCCTGACCCCATGTCCTTAGGGCTGGACTTTGGTCATGGCCTCCCTGCTGGTCTCCTTGCCTCTGCTCTCTTCTCCTCCAACGTTCTCTACTTTTTCTCACACCAGTGTTCCCCAAATATTCACTTACCAAGCATTTTAATTGAGCTTGGAAGATGCACAGAAGATGCAAAAACGAGCAAGCCGCTCAGGGATATCAAGGCAACCTGGGAACTACGATCTTAATAATAACCGCATGCAGCTTGTCATGGGGGCAGCACAGAGTGCCAGGAAACCCACCCGGAGGAGCGTGGGGTTGAAGCAGAGTCCATCGCTCCAGGTTTGAAAACCACCCCCAGCCCTGCAGCTGGGTTATGACCCTACCCTGCCAGCCCACCTGGCACCTCCTGGAGGCCGTCATCCAGTCTGCACGCTCAGGCTGACGCACAGCCCCGGTGCTCTGACACTAGCGGGAGTTGTTTGGCTTTTATCTGTGGGTGGGCCCAACCAGGCCTGGGGAGGAGCTCCTAGCAGGATGTTCTGTTCCAAAATGACAGATCTGGCCGCGGCATGGCCAGACAGGATAAAAGGCACCTTCTCTCCTATTCTGTGCTAAAATTTACCTGGAAGCAAGTGAGAGCTTAGTAGAATGTCTACATCGAGCAAATCTCAAGACAGTTAAGATCACACTGGAATAAATAATTCTGTGACTGGCATCTTTGAACGGCATGCAGATTGGTACAGAGACCCATCGCACCCCGGTCCACTGGGAACTGGCCAGGTTGTCTGAGAAGGCATTGGTGAGTGTGGAAAGGCCAGCAGAAGCAGGGAGGCCAGGATTTCAATGAAGAGCCTGCAGACTGAGGCCTTTCAACCCCGCCAGCTTGGGACTGGTTTAAAGACCTCACGTGGGCAGGGCCGCTCCAGCACCAGCAGCTGTGGAAGGATCAGCTTCCCAATGGTTGGGGTTAGATAGGGTCTCCACAGCATGAAAGGGGTGGCTGCCAAGATGGGCTACCTGGAATGATCCAAGGCAGTCTTCTGTGTCACCTTCCTCTCTCCTCCCTGCTCTGTGCTCTCTAGGATGGAGCTGGGTGACTTTGCCCACATTTCCCATCCCTCAAGACAACCATCTTCTGCCGACTCCCCTTCCCTAATTTTCAGAAGTTCACTTTACACTTACTGTAGGGTCTTTCTCAGCTCCTGCAATTCATTCACCCTACCTTTCTGAAGTCCTGCAGCATAGGCTTATATTGTCTTATATAAAAGCACTTCATGTTTCTTTCATGGAATCATAAAATTGGAAGCCAACCCGGAGGCTATCTAGTGCTCCTCTTACCAGAGAGCCCTTCTCCAGAGCCTGGCAGGGCTGAACAGTCTGAGATGGGGAACTCACTCTCAGAAAGCAGCCTGAGCTATTTAAAAAGTTTTCCTTTCTTTGAGCCCAAACTGGTCTACCTCTGGAGTCATTCAAGAGAAAATTTACCTCTTTTCTCAAGTAATAGTCTTCAAATCATAGACTGGTCGCCCAAGAATCATTTTCTGAGTGCTTATGTATTATGTGCTTGCCAGCTAATCCTCACAACAATCCTATAAAGAAAAACCAAGGAGGCAGGTGTTCAAAAAGGTTCAGCGATTTGCTGTGGTTACACAGCTAATGCTGGTGGTTCCCTCTATGACTAGTGATGTTGCTGGGACTTGATCTCAGGCCCAGCTCTAATGCCTGTGCTCTCTGGACACAAAGCCACCTCCAAAGAAGCAGATTCTGTGTCACAGAACCCTTCCACTGCATTCTTATTGACTGAGGAGTTGAAGACTCCAACAGGGATTCACAAGTTACTGAGGGGTGAAAGGGCTGAGAGCCTGGCCAACAGGCAGGCACGGAGCCCACCCCAGATGGCCCCCGACTGGCCCACCTGCAGGCCTGAGGTTGGGAGTCTGGTGGGGGCTGTGAGAAGACTCTCAGGACTTTGAGGGTGCGCATGGCCACAGACATGGGAGAGGGAGGGAGGTTGAAGAGGCTGGCCAATGAGTGACCCTTTGGCCAGCTTCCTGCGTCCATCAGCACCTGCTCTGTAGTTAACAGAGCCTTCCTGTCTTTATTCTCCTTTCCTCCAAAAAGGTTCTTTCCCCCAGCTACCTACACACCACGATAGCCGCAGGGGCTAAGAATCCTAGGTTGAGCTCTGTGACTACAATTCTCCATGAGGCCAGCCAGTTCCTTCTGCGGACTCTGGTTTCTCCGTTATCTTTCAGGAACGCAAGGTTCCTATTTTAGTGGCTCCTAACAATTACATATAGCAGCGGAGTCCTCAAGAAACAATTTTATAAGCTATACAACCTCTGTTAAACATCTCCTCTCCGAGACTGCTTCATTTGAAAACAAAGTGCTGCTTCTTCCCACTCGACCCCATTCTCGATTCCCTACTTCCCAGGCCCCTACCTATGTGGCCCAAGGGAAAATAAAGAACATGAAACCACCCAAGCAAAATGGGGACAAAGATAGTTTCTTGGTTTCTCTTCAGCTCCATCTGAGGGTCTAGCTCAGAGAAGCAGGGTGAACCTAAGTCAGGGACCACTGGACTAAGCTGTTGACAAACCATGTTGGAGACCATCTTACAGCATCAGTTCATTCCCACAAGCAGTGGGGCTGAGGCAGCAGAGCCCAAGCTCCCGTCAGCTAAGGCTGAGCCTGGGCTATGGGGAACAGCACCCCAGTGATGTACTACGCTGCCCTTCGGCCCACCTGAAGTCAGGCAGGTGACCTCTGAGCCCCAGTGGCTTTAATGACGTCTCCTTCCAGAGACTCGTTCTGCCATGGCTTCATCTGCATGACTGATAAAAGTGTTACAAAAACCCCAAACCACAGAGCCCATACCCCCTAACAGTGGACAAGTACTGCAGTCCTGCCAGGGAGCAGCAGAGAGGAGGCCAGGGAGATGCAGGGGGAGATTTAATTTACACAGCAGCCAGTTGGGGCCCAGTCAGAGCCAGGGCAGTGGGGGGATCTATAGCCAGAGGGCACCTCCCACCCCTTCCCTTGAAGACCAGTCCTCACAGACACTTAGATGGGGCTCCCTGGGTTGTGCAGAGGATGCTCCAGTCAAAAGGAGATTCAGAGATAAGGCTGTCCCCAAAGTCGGGGGAAGTCCGTGGCCTGGAGATGGTTGCCTACATGGTGGCCCAGGGGTCTGAGAGACCAGTCCACGTCCTGGGCACAGTCCTCAGGCTGTGGCCCTAGAGGAAGCCCTCACGGCGGAACTGTTCCTGGAGAAGGGCGCGGTACTGGTCAAACCCCCCCTCGACCCGGGTGACGCCGCCGCCTTCGCACACCCACAACTCCCGGCACACCAACCGGATGAAGCGCTCATCGTGGGACACCAAAATCACACCACCCTGAAAGAGAGGAGACCAGGAGGCACTCAGGGCAGGGGGGGGACCCTCAGGGGTGCTGAGGCTTGGGGAAGAGTGGGCAACCTGAAGGCACACTCACCCTGAAATTGTTGAGAGCACGGCCCAGAGCCTCAATCGTCTCCATATCCAGGTGGTTTGTGGGTTCATCCAGAATGTAGAAGTTGGGACTGGAAGGCAGTACCCAGGGAGGCAGGCAGTTATGGGGGTTGGGAGAAAATGAACTCCCCTGATATGAAGACAAGACAAACATTTCCTACTAGGCAAGATGGGGAGAGGAGAAGGCAAGAACTCACCAGGGCATGGTCATCTGAGCAAAGGCTACCCGGCTCTTCTGGCCTCCAGACAAGCTGGCAACAGGGCGCACGGCCAGTTCTCCAGAGACGCCATACCGGCCCAGCTGGTGACGATACTCCTCCTCAGGCCGCCCTGGAACAGGCCTCACCCCATCAAGTGGGTTCTCGACCCAATTCCCTCCCTTCACCCTCCCCTCAGCCTTACCTCCAAGTGCCCATGTCCTTAACCCTAGACTCAGGGCTCGCTGCTCAGCACCCCACCCCAAGGTAGGCCTAGCTGTAAGGGTCACCTCTTTTCTCGACCCAAATCCCTACGGTACCGGGAAACTTGCGGGCCAGCAGTTCCACAGCACTGACACTCAGGTCCAGCTGCTCCACGTGGTGCTGGCTGAAGTAGCCGATCTTCAGATTCCTACAGGCAGAAAGAGAGGGGGAAAGATGGGGTGGGAGGCGATGCCCATAGAGGATTGTAGCTATAAAGTCGTTGGGGACCGGGGGCTTACCTGTGAGCATGTCTGATGCCCCGAACAGGTGCCAGGTCCCCCATAAGCAGCTTCAGCATGGTTGACTTCCCAGCCCCATTCTCCCCAACCTGTCCAAAGAACCATGAGAATGCTGCAGAGCGGACATGTGCAGAACACAGAAGCAAAGGAGAGGAGAACTGGCTCTGACCAGTGACTCCTTCACAACAACTAAAAAAAATATTAAGAAACTAGACAGAAAAACGAAGGAACTAGTAAAAATGTAAAGGGAATTGACAGCTAAATACCTACTAAGTGCAGGGGATTGAATCCTCCCAGTAACAGTGTGGTAGCTGCTATCTCCACTTAGTAACCGAGCTAGCAATCGGCAGAGTCAAGACCTGAAATCTGACCCTGATTTCTCCCTATTCTGTGGTTTGAGAAAACTCAGATCTGAGACTAGGAAGATATAAGTCTTCTTGCTCTACATATTCATAAAATACCACCAAACAGGTTTTCTATCTCTGCAGGGAAGTAGAGCAAAGTCCTTGGCCCAGGCCAACTCCTGCTCCTGCATACCACTTCCCTTTGCAGCTGGAGGATCTGGGCCAAGCCACCCCACGTGCTGGGATGGGAGAGTCCCAGCTCACGAAACAGAGAAACAGCAACCATACCACACAAATGCGGGACTCGAGATCAGCAGAGACGGAGAGACGGCTGAAGATGACGTGCTTAGGATCATAGTAGAAATCCACCTCATCTAGTTGCAGAACTGGTGGTGAGAACTTCTCAAATCCATCGGGGAACCTGCAGGAGGTGGTGGTGAGGAACATGGGAGCAGCCAGAAACACGAGCTCCCCACCAGCCTCTTGGCCCAGCACTCACTTCATCACCACCTCCAACTCCTTGTCCACAGGTTTCAGCTCTGGTCTGAGGAGAGAGGGGGCAGACTAAATTTATGGCTTTATTTATTATTTTTAAAGATTTTATTTATTTATTTGATAGAGAGACACAAGAGAGGGAACACAAGCAGGGGGAGCAGCAGAGGGAGAGGGAGAAGCAGGCTTCCCGCTGAGCAGGGACCCGGATGTGGGGCTCGATCCCAGGGCCCTGGGACCATGACCTGAGCCGAAGGCAGACGCTTCAGTACTGAGCCACCCAGGCGCCCCTAAATTTATGGTTTTAAAACTAACTATTTGTTCTTATTATACAAGTAATATATATTCAGAGAAAACTTAGAGAAAGCTTGTACTCCCACCATCCAAACTACATTCTTATTTTAGAGTACCTTCTTCTAGTTCACTATATGCTGAAAAAATAGGGTTATCCTTTTTGTAGGTTTTCAGTCTACCAGTTAAGATACCATGATAAAGGGCGCCTGGGTGGCTCAGTTGGTTAAGTGACTGCCTTTGGCTCAGGTCATGATCCTGGAGTCCCGGGATCGAGTCCCACATCGGGCTCCCTGCTCAGCAGGGAGTCTGCTTCTCCCTCTGACCCTCTTCCCTCTTGTGCTCTCTATCTCTCAAATAAATAAATAAAATCTTTAAAAAAAAAAAAAAAAGATACCGTGATAAAATATTTCAATATCACAAAAACCTAAGCCTTTGATTTTAGGCTCCCCTCCCTGCCCTCCCCCAACCAGCACCTCTAGGAAGGTTGCTTTAAGATTAAGCCCCCAATGTTCAACATCATTAGTCATTAAAGAAACGCAAATCAAAACCACCGTGAAATATCACTCACGCCCACTAGGCTGGCTAAAATTAAAAAGAAAGATAATAAGTGTTGGCAAGGATGCGGAGAAACTGGAACCCTCGTACACTGCTGGTAGAAATACAAAACTGTACGGCTGCTTTAGAGAACAGTTTGGCAGTTCCTCAAAATGTTAAACATAGAATTAATTATCTTGTAACCCAGCAATTCCACTCCGAGGTATATACCCCAGAGAATAGAAAACATATGTCCATACGAAAACTTGTACACAAATGTTCATAGCACTGTTATTTATAAGAGCCAAAAAAGAGGAAACTTCCGATATCTCTTGACGGATGAAGCAATGGACAACATTCTGTATGTCCCTACAATGAAATACTATCTGACCATAAAAAGGAAGTACCAATATGTGCTACAGCATGAAAGAACTTCAAAAACATTATGCTAGGTGAAATAAGCCAGACCCACTTATATGAAGAATAAGCAAACAGATTAGAGAAAGTAAATTAGTGGTTGCATAGGCCTGTGGGGAGCAAGACTAATGGCAGTGTAAAATGCTCTGCTTTCCTGTTGGGGGAAACTAAAGCTGGTTTCTAGAAAAGGGGAGATCTAGAATGGGAGGGTAAGGGGTGGCCCACAAAGTGAGGGAAGAAATTAAGAGATTAGGAGTCAGGGCCCAGTCAAGGGCACTGTACTCACAGCTTCTCCAGCATCTTAAGTTTACTCTGCACTTGAGAGGCTCTGTTGGCATTGTAGCGAAATCGGTCAATGAAAACCTGTGGGTGGATGAGTGTAGGCACTGGTCAGGTTCCCTCACTCCGGCAAACTCTGATACCCACAGGACGGGGCCCCCAGCCTGTCCCCATACCTGGATATGCTGGCGGTACTGCTGCTGTGCCTCATATTCCCGCTGCTGGTTGAGCAGCCGCTCCTGCTTGCTCTTGATGAAGGTCTCAAAGTCTCCCCGGTAGCCATCTAGTCGCTGGCTGTGCAGGTGGATGATGTCTGTGGCTATGGCATTCAGAAAGTTGCGGTCGTGGGAGACAACGAGGATTGTAGAAGGCCACGTCTGAGGGGTCACAGGATGGCAGGCCCAGTTAGGGAGAGCAGTCAGTTTCCAGCCCCCCAGGTGTCTTAGAGGCAGACCTTCCCTAGACCTACTCTAACACCTATAGGCACTCACTTGCAGGTAATTCTCCAGCCACAGGATGGCCCTTACATCCAGCATGTTTGTGGGTTCTGGAAAAGTGGGGGAGGATACATTTGGGATTGAAGTGCTATAGAACCTGGATGTTGCCATCCTTCCCCACCCCAAAGTCAGGGTGCCCCTTTTCAAACTCACCATCTAGCAGCAGAAGATCTGGCCTATAGAAAAGAAGAATGTAAGCCTTGAGGTTTTAGGTCAGCAGCTCATGACCTCCCACGAGCCAAGGCCCATCCTCCACAGTATCCATACACAGGCCCAGGAGACTCACCTAGCAAACAGAGCCCGGGCCAGGGCCAGCCTCATCCTCCAGCCACCTGAGAACTCCCTAAAGAAACAGAGATCACATCGGGATAGGTGTTCACCAGAACAGGCAGAGACAGAGCCAACAGTGTTCACAGCCAAGAATGGCAAGGGCCACTCACCGGGTGGGCTGCTGCTGCATTTTAGGGGTAAAGCCAAGCCCAGCAAGAATGACTGATGCCCTAGAAGTGAAGAAATGGAAGAACTTCGTTGAAACAGGTAACAGAAGGGAAAGGTAAAATCTGAAGGAGGGAAGGGGAATTTTAAATACCTGGCAGGTGCCTTGTCAGCCTCAATCTCCTCCAGTTTGGCATATATTTCCGCCAACTGTGCAGCTTCTGAGCCCTCAGCCCTGGAGTGGGAAGGGAAGAAGAGTGCTCAGCCTGACTGGGGGCAGTATAGGGGGAATGCCCTGGATTCTATGCAGTTGGGAGAGCAGGCCACTGGCTGCCTTGTTGCCAGGACAGGAATGGACTACAGGAAGCACCTGCTCAAGTCAGGGAGGGCAGTGGGCACTGTGGAAGGAACAGGGCTTTACAGCTCCACAGCGCCAGGTTCTAAGCTCTGCTGCTTACTAGGATGAGCGTGCAAGTTATGGATTGTGGCAGTATGACAGGCACTCTCTGAAGAACCGTGGCTGCTGGTTATTCCTCATCTGGAGCCCTTACCTGCCAGTGGCAATCTGGGCACTGAGCTCCCGCTCCCTCTGCAGAAGGTCCTCTCTCACAGTGTCACTCTCTAGCACACTCTGTAGGGCAGGAGTGTCATCTCCAGCAACCTCCTGCTCCACGTGCAGCAGGGAAATGTGGGCTGGAACTCGCAGGCTCCGAGTGGCTAACATCTTCAGGAGTGTCGTCTTCCCCAGCCCATTTCGACCCACTAGCCCATAGCGGCGGCCCCACGCCAGGTTCACATCTGCTCCAGCCAGTAGTACCCTGCAGGGGTAGTAGGAAGAAGACAAAGGGTGCTGCTCTAGAGACAGGTATACAGCAAATTTAACCACAAAAAAACCTAATGTTATTTTAAGCCCCATTTCATCTATCCCAATTCTCCTTTAATTGGAAAAAGAAAAACGTAAGCCCTCCCCACAGCCACTCCCTCACCTATCGCCAAAAGACACATCGAAGTTCTCAATTCGCACATCGTATGATTTGTTCTTGCCAGATGATTCCAACCGACTCTCCTTTCTGCTGCCTGCCTGGCTGGCTGATGCCTCTTCCAAGACCCTTTCAAAGGGAGAAATGAATGGCTTTTAGCATTCCCGGCCACCCTTCCATCCCAATAGAGACTGCTCTATTCTCTTCTCAGCCCTTCTTGCTAAACTCACAGAGGAGTGCTGGTCTTGAGTGTGTCCTTCTCTGAGCGCTTCTCCTGCTTTGCCTTCAGTCGAGCCTCAGCCTTCTCTAGCTTCTTTGCATTCACTGTCTAAAGGTCCAAACACAACCATTTCAGCCTAGGTTGTAGGCTCAGAAAGGAGCCCCAGAAAGAACATCTTAAGTTACCCTGCTTTCAGCAAAAGACATAATCAGAAACCCCCGGAAAAATCCTTCAATATTTAAAGACAGTCAACTTCCACCCCAACCACAGACACAGACCCCTCCCTTTCTTCCTCCTCCTCACCGAGGACTGTTCCCTCTTTAGCAGTCCTGGAAATTTGGTGCCACAGTCTGTAAGCGATAAGAAAAGCAGTCACCTTCTCCCTGAGGGAAGGGAAACTAACATTTTGAGTAACTAGTATGAACCAGACACAGACATAGACATTTAAAGGAAAGCCTTACAATCCCAGAAATAGCTATCATCCTCCCCATATTTCAACCAAAAACAAAAACAAAAAACACTTCCCAGATTAAGAATAGAGACTGAGGCAGATAAGCAACTCCTACAAGCTCATGCAGTTGATTAGAAAGTCACAAAATTGACAAGTGAACCTAAGTCTGTCCAGCCCCAAGGCCCATAAGCTTCCTACCCTACCTAAGAGCTTGGAAAACTCTCCAACCCTACTCCCTTCAACAGTGGCCTCTTTTGCCCTCAGTAAAGACATCAACTAGCTTCTACATCCTTGTTCTGTTGAAAAGGGGTACCAGGAGTCCTGGCCTCCAGGGGAAGGCTGGCTGGGTGGGGGGTGGAGGCTGAGACAAGGGCAGAGAGCAGCTAGTTCAATCTTCCCTCACTCTCACCGTAGTTTTCTGTTATCTTTGACAACTGGATGGGGGTGTCTAGTAGCACCTGGCTGTTTCCCTGGGTCTGTGGCTCATCCCTTTAGGGTAGGAACAGAAAGCGCAGAGTTAGGAATTGAATAAAAAGCTCTACAGCCATCAGACCTTCTTCCCTTACGTCTTGTCTCCTTACCGTCCGCCCTCCCATCGTCCCCACGAATCCCCCTACCCTGGCACGTACAGGCGCAGAGTGTTGTACATGCGCTGGCACACAGCCCTGATGCCCGCGTCATCCTTGCTGTCCCCGGACACCTCCTGCAACAGTTCCCCCACCGCTTCCACCAGGTCATCCACAGACTCGAAGTCCGCGCTGCCGCTGTGCAAGACGCCTGGGCCGGGCGTGGCAGGTCGAGGAAGATACCGGGTAGGGTAGACATACAAGCCGTTTTAGTCCCCAAAACACTGCCCCACTCCGGGCTCCAGACCTAACCTGCCCTCGGGACAAGAGGTCACGCAGAGGAGAGGCCTAGCAGCGGTCCCGGCACTGCCCTCCCTTAGTCTTTCTCCCAATGACTTCCATTTTGGCCTCCCCAGCGCGCAGATTCGGTTCGGCTCACCCGTCACGTAGTCGAAGACCTGTCCGTCAATTTCGGGGAACTCGCTCCGCAGGATTTCGGCGCAAGTCGCCATGTTCCAGTCGGGCTCCCGTCCGCGCAGGCGCCGTTAGACGGCAGCCAAGACGCGCCTCCAGCCGGTCTCCCAAAAGTTCGCCCCTCCTTCCAAGGCGCATGCGTAGTGGTGATGTAAGAAAGGCGCGGAGTTCCCGGAACCCGGTGGACCGGGTGAACGGGGCTGGAGGAACCGTGCGCAAGCGCCGCTCAGAGCCTACGCTCGAGCTGCTCTCTCTGCGCTTGCGCAACGCTGTTTCCGCTGAAAAACTAGCCACATGTGCGGTTCTCGCTGCCTTCTGGGAGGTGGAGCTCCGAAAGGCGGCGGCCGCGGCGGCGTGCAGGGGAGCTCGCGGTTTATCAGGGCATGAGATAGCCGTGGTCCCGCGAGTGGGAACCTCCCAAGAGACAGGCGGTTGATAAAGCACACAGGCCTCGCTAGATCTCTGCGTTTCCTTGAGGCGAGCCTGTGTCAGCGCGCCCAGCCGGGTCCATTTTGGAGGCCACCGAGAGCTCTGCTGACTCATGGTCGGTCCCTGGCCTCTCAGAAGCCTCCTGCAGTTCTGGGCGGCCCACGGGTTTTGTTCTGGTCCCCAAGGCCTATGGGCTTTTTGTATTAGCTGGGCGGCCTGCCTCAGTTCTCTCACCTCTGACAGGTCAGCAGACTTCTGCAAATTGTACTCACTCAATCCTAACATCACCCCAAGGCACAAGCTCACTTACCGCCAAAGGGCAAGAAAACGAGATCGGCCAGTGCAAATTCATCGGTATTTATTCCCTACCTACACACCCAAAACAGGCTTCTCTGCACCAGGAAGCTCAGTAAATGAGTGTATAAAGCTACTCTCACTGATTCCCTCTAGAAGTTAGGAATTTTCCCCAAATGATGCTACTGCTTTACATTTAACATGAATATTCTTCCAACCTTAAGATTTTCACCTAAGATCCATTATCCTTTTGCCATCTAGAAAGATCAGTCCAACTACTTAAAGTTTAAAAAGCCTGGGGCACCTGACTGGCTCAGTCAGAGCATGCAACTCTTGATCTCAGGGTCCTGAGTTTGGCCCCACCTTGGGTGCAGAAATTACTTAAATAAAACTTTAAAAAAAAAAAAAGGTTAAAAAGTTAAGCTACTAAATCTAACAACCACTTCATAGGCAATAGATGGAAGAGGAATTTTTTTTTAATATTTATTTATTTGACAGAAAGAGAGCGAGAGAAGGAACACAAGCAGGGTGAGTGGGAGAGGGAGAAGCAGGCCTCCTGCAGAGCAGGGAGCCCGATGCGGGGCTTGATCCCAGGACCCTGGGATCATGACCTGAGCTGAAGGCAGACGCTTAACGACTGA